TGGGCTACTCTGCACACCCTGACATAGGTTCTGGGAGAGGGTGACTTGGAAGGGTCTGGGGTCCCCGGTACACTCTGTGGGTGGGAGACACTGGTTTATGGGGGTCCCTGCTATCTCTGGCAGAGTGTTGGGTGGCAAGGAGAGAGGGAGTCTGCTCTCACCGGATTTATTTTTGTGCAACTTCCCTGGTAAAGTGAGCAGGGTCACCAGGTACCTCGAAACCTGTGTCCTGCATCTGGGAGGAGGGAAGGCCAGGGGTCTCAGAGCTGGCTGGCGAGGATTGCGACATGGGTCCCCGCCAGCCCTGTTCCCCACCCCCAGAGGGCAGTCTGGAGCCTAGTAAGACCATTGTTCCTGGGTTTCCTGGGACACTGGGCACCGGGTCCCCCTCCTCCCTCCAAGGAGGGGCCCTTGCACGTGTCCGGACAGGCCCCTGTCCGCGGGGGTTCCTTTTTCCCTCCCGCCTTCCCCGCCCATTCCTGGGAAGTGAGGACCCCAGGCCTGGACCGGAGCACAAGGCAGCCCCTGTAATCGGAGCTGCCGCGTGCGGCCGCGTCACCGGAGGGAGGCCGACACCTTAGGAGGACGTGCCTGGCAGCAGCCCCAGAACAGTGCGTCCTGGGCGGGGCGGGGCGAGCCGGCGCGGGAGCTGGTGCGGGAGAGATGTTCGCGCAGCCTGCTAGGCCCGCAGCTGCCTGCTGCGTTGAGCGGGCTAGTTAATCTGTAACTCTGCGCACCCTTCGGGCCTCACCATCCCAATTTACGAAGTCTGAGGCTGGAGAGCAGCTGGAAGGGTCCTGGGACATTTTCTCCCAGGGTTCTGGCCCAAGCGCCCTCTGCTAAGTGATGCAGCTTGAGGCCAAAGAAGAGGCGCTTCCTGGCGCAGCAGTCCCTCGGCAGGATCTGCCCGGTACAGACGTCAACCTCTAGCTCCAGGGGTTCACTCAAGACCCTTGCTCACAGAAATCCTCTGGAAGGGCTCAGGGCTGGGTGAAAGGCAAGTCCAGCCACAGGACTCAGTGCTGCCTTGACTGCTGGGTGATCTCAAGCATGTTGCTTAAACTCTCTGGGCCTTTGCTGCCTCCCTAACAAAACAGGCATGAAAAGGCCTCCCTGTCCAGGGTATTGGATAGATTAAATATTGCAAAAAGCTCAGCTCTGTGGAGGGCAGGTCCCTGACCAGCACAAGGTCGAGACACCTGGGCTGTTATTATTTATAATGTCTTTTAGGGCTCCTCAGAAAGGGCATCACTTGGACAACAGTCGGGGAGGGAGCAGAAGGTAGGAACCCTCAGAGGACTTCCTGATGGCCAGGCACTCATCTGCCCTAGGGGCTCCAGAGCAGCCTGTACGTGCGTGACATCCAGCCCCTGGCTGTGACTGGTGACTGCACTTTCCAGTTTCCTGTCATGATGGATGACACGTGGCCCATGGCACGATGGAAAATTTTTCAAGGCCTTAATTTATTTGAAAAGACAGCTCAGGGTCTCTGAACACAGGAAACCAGCCTGAGGCAGGTTTGAACTTGGGTCGGGGGAGGGAAGCATCCCAGACCTATCCTTAGTCACCCCACGCCAGGCACCCCACATCCCAGACTGTAGGTTCCCCAGGGCTCTCGGACAGTGTTGGCCTGACACAGAACACCCATCCCCAGTCCTGGAGAGCCAACTGAAGCACACATCTTATAGGGTGTGGCCACACCAGAGAAGCAGCACGCACCACCGCCACCCCAAGAAAGGGAGTTTGGGCAGCCAGGTGAGGTGCTGGTGCAGAAATCTGCCACCAGAGGGCAGTAAGAGGCCAAGGACAGGCCCTCTCGGGCTGCTGGGCTCTGTGGCTTGCTCGCTGGGAGATCCGCACTTCTGTGGTTCTCCCGGGAAGCCTCAGTCTCTGCAGCGGGACTGACCCATCATGGGGGTGCTGCAGGGACAGGCACATGTATATCTCCTCCAGAAATGAGCTGGTTCAACTGCATCAGTTTCCCCCAAGAACAAGCATCCAGGAGGGCTGGGACTTTCTCCGTGATGACTTGTGGACCTTTCCTGCATTAGAGCTCAGGAATCAGACTGGGAGCTCGGGTGGGGAACTAGACTGTGTGGGTTCAGTCTGCCTTGACACTTGGACCTTCAGCGAGGATTTAATCTCATCTGGTAGGTTTCCTCATCTACTAATGCTCGAAGAAGTACATGGCTGCCATATGTGCTAGCCAGAGTCTGTAATGCCAGCCACCAAAGAACCAACTCCTCCTCATTCCCAGGAGCTTAAGCCACACTCTTGTCTATTTCTTACTACCATTCTCGGGCGACATGCTTGTGGGGCTGCTGCTGTCCACGGGCTGGGTTCCCTGTCTGGCCAGCAGGGGAAGCAGCAGGACTGCCTGGATAGTGCATGAACTATCTGAAGTGGCCGCATTTCTGCCCAGCTCCCACCCCCTAAACCGGTCTCAAGGCCCCACCTGGTTGCAGATGGCCTGAAAAGTGTGATCTTCCCGTGTGCTCCAAGGAAAGCAAAGAAGCTGAGTTCACGCATTGCTTTTTCTCTCTCTCCTCTCTTGCGGGGACAAGAATCACAGGAAAACATGCGCACTGTTCAGAGGGACCTGGCATGGGATCGAGGAGCCTATGGCTCCTGGTTAGTGCCCTCCACTACCGTGCAGGCAGGAGTAGGGGCCCTCAGCCCAGGAAACGGGTCCCTGCTGAGCCCAGCCCACTCCTCTGAGACCAGCACCCCTTTCCCACTTCAGCTCTCTGCAGCAACAGAGTACAAATATTGTTCTTTTTGTTTCCTTTTTCCCTTTGGATGTATTTTTAATTACAAAAATAGAACTGGATTGTTGTACCCAGACAATGTTTGCTTGCTTCCAGGCCCCTGCAAGTGGAGGGCTGGGTTTCTTCTTGATGCCCAGCCCCCAGCGCCTGGGGGGGGGGTGTATGTCTCTGTTCAGGTGTGTTTCTGGCTCAGGTTGTGGGGGGACAGCTCAATCTCACCCCTGAGACCAAGTCTAACAAACCCTTTGGTATCATCTCTCATAGTGTTCCAAGTCACAGACCTAGAGAAGGTCACTTCCTCAGCACCAATGCGGGCAAGAGAAGGAGAGACTATGGCACCTGATGATGATCCTGTAATTAAGCTGGCATGGACGGCAAACCAGAAAGTGTGAGGGCGAGTGTCCCAGTCTTACATCCTCCCAGCTATTCGGCCTCATCACCAACCTAGGACTATCTAGGCATTTTACTGCTTCTCCCTTAAAATAGGGTGGTATCCCATGGGGTGCATCACGAGGACTGAGCTTGGGGTGCACTAACACCCTGTGCAGCACATGGCATGAGCTGTGGGCTGGGGCAGGTCTTCCCTAGCCTTCCCTCCTGGACAGCTGAAGCCTCCTATCTGCACCTTTCTGGAGACCTGGAGCCATGTGGTCACTACCCAGTGTGGCTGTGTCCTGGGTTTCCAGGAGGGTTAGCACAGGATGAAACACGGCCCTGTCTCCATCTGACTCCAGGCCAGTTCCCACCAGCCCGGCTCGAGGACTCTGTGGGCTCCTTGGGAATTTGTCATCCTCTTCTATTTTCCTGAAGATAAAACAATTCGGACATCCATGCTTGTGGAAAATTTAGAATATAGAGGAAAAAGAGAAATTCACACATTACCCACCATCAGGAGCAGAGAACGTCCCCTTCATCCTGTCCCTCAACTGTCAGTTCAGTTCATCTCCTTTCCTTTTACCACTCCCTGGGGAGTGCTGCAAGTAACCGACTCCAGGCAGGCTAGTGGGGCTGACCACCGCCTCACTTTCCCTCCCTCTGGAGGGAAGCCGTTCCGCCAGGCCCCAGGGCTGTGCAAGACCCTCCTAAAAGGAGGTCTCCACCCAACCCCAGTCCTCACCCCAACCCCCCCGGGGGGGGCTGTGCCTCCCTTGGAGGGGGATGGGGTATCCTGGGGGCCTCACACCCGGTCATGCCCCAGAGAATTAGTCTTCCTGCGGGCCTGTGCCGCAGAGACAGGGGCCACAGGTTTGTGTGTTTGTGTCCCTCTGCCCCCAAGCTGCACCGAGAAGCGGGCTGTGGGGGAAGGGCACTGTCCTTCAAAAGCCTTTTCCCTATGACCTCAGGCAGATTCTTCCCTTTCGACAGCTTCCAGCCAGCCCGGAGGGCAGATCCCTGACCTGGAGTGGCTTGGCCCAAGCCGGAGAAGACTAGGCACCCGGTCGTTGAGACTACGCGTATAGCGCAGGATGGACTTGGTCTGTGTCCCGTCCACTGGGCGGTGGTCTCAAGGGTTTGGCTTCGGGGAGCTGATGCTGGTGTCCAGCGTGTTCCTCACATGGCCCCTTGGGGCAAGGGTTAAGCTGACCCTGTCCTCTCCTGCTCGAGGCCCACGGACCGGCAGGTGTGCTCCGGCCTCAGGTGCGCGGATCCCTCGCGGGCAAGATGTAAGAGCGGGCGCGAGCGTGGGCCGCCCGAGATCCCACTCGGTCCAGGGACGAGCTGGCAGCGGCGGGTTAAAGCCCAGTCAGCTGGCACAGGGGGCCCAATGGTGAACAGTGTGGGCTGGCAGGACGCCGGGTCCACCAAGGGCCTTGCCCACCGCGCCGGA